GCACCAATCGTAGTACTTTGGCCTGATGAGGCGGCCGAGGTTCCACTGAACGATGACTGCAAACAAAAAACCACCAAAGTTATTAGTATAGTAGAGGCCTTAACTCATGCGCTGTCCTGATCGAACTATGAGTGCCTAGTTAAGCCTACATTTGTTCATGTTATTTTGATTTCTTGACTGGAGTTGAGGCCCAGAACGCCTTGCCTCTGAAATAGAGCGTTTGGAGAATGAACGCCCTGAATTGATGTTCGCTTATTTAAACTATCTACCGAAATATTGCTCTGTAGGCCGTATAGGTTTACAAAACTTGGGCGGAAATTTGGTCTTTTATTTTGACTTGTTCAGATGATTTGAGGCTAAGAACGCTTTTTACTAAAAAAAACGGCGTGTTTAATCTTGTGTACTAAAGGAAAAGAGGCAGGATTTGGGCGAAATCGGAAGTTACCACCGAATTTGAGTCCACCTTGCTCACATATCGGGCTACGGAATAGACTTGTCCCTCTGTGGCTTCAGGCTCAACCTAGAGCTCCGTCGACAGCCGCTCAACGGCTAGCACATTATAGGCAGAGAGAGACTAGAGACTGGAATGACCACTTCTGGTTTATTAGCCGTCATCAGCCAGTCTTACCTAACCTCAGGTTTGTTCAACTACGGCAGTTCGAACCCATGACCTGTTGGCTAGAAGGCCAATGCTTTCTACACTGAGCCATGCGCTGGATAATTTACTGGTTTTGATCGAGAATGTTTATATGGCTGACAGGTGCGTTTTCTTATTTGTACGGGGATCTCCTACCAGGACCGCCCTACCTTTGAACACTGCCCTCGACGTCGCGTGGGTCTCCTGTGTCATGTGCTGCGTAGAAAAACAGCAGATAAGGCAAAACCTATAAAGTATTAATAAATTGACAAGAAAGTTTGCCAACCACTGGGCGAGGCATCGGACATGGCAGGCTTCAAGCCACATAAGATGCTGCACGAGGGAAGAGGATGAAGTTGCCGACGGACGTGGAAAGGCAAGTTATCGGAAGTAATAACCACGCCAAT